ATGCCTCTAGGCAATGGGTAATATGTTTCTTAAGTACATGTGGTTTTGTCTGTGTTTTTGTATTAAACAGGCGAAGAACCCTTGAGATCAACACTGGGAGAAAGAAGAAAAGTAGCAAAGGAGTCGATGTGTGATGCAGGACAGGTCTGAGCCAAGGTGCAAAAGGTAAAGCACAAACAAGCCCTGCAGTGTCAGTCTGCGCCATGCTTGGCGTTAGATTGCTTCTTCCCTTGCTATATTTTAACATGATCTACCAAAATATCTCTGCGTTCTTCTAGCATCACACTCCCTTCTCCCCATAGTCGAGTTAAAGTAATGGTGAGCTGAGGAAAGTTTCTAAAAGTTGGGCAGCACCGGTACAGCGTCACCCATGGAGTCTTAATTAAACCACTTACAGTTTTTTGGCCATCAACTCTCTTTTTAATCATCTGTTATTTCCTGAAAGTTTTAGCCAAATTCACTTGGCAGAACTGCAGGTGAAGGAGCAGGCATTTCACAATGTTCTGATTTCAGCAGTTTAAACTCTGATTTTAAAAGCAGTGTTGAATGTCACTAATGGTCTGAGCTCACCAGGTCAGTGTCTGGGTGCCTCGGGATCCAAATCCCTGCACACAGTTCAATGGGAGGAATTGGGCTCTGAAATTGCATGCATGATCTGAAAATTTTTCTTCTTTAGCATCGTTCTTTGGGCATATTCTTGACCCAGAACACTTCATAACCCAGGTAGGTTTACCGTGTAAGGATTAGTCCATGGGCTGCTGATGCACAGCTATTGCAGGGGCGTGTGGCTGGCTGGGAACCATGGGCAATCTCACTGTAGAGGCTAGAGGTTGCTGCCAGCAGCACATTTCTCCTTCTCCAGTTTTTCTCTCGGTCCTGTAATGAAGCCAGGGGATATGATTTTGTGCCCTGCACTGAGCTCCTTCAGGCAAACTCCGGAGTATTGTCAAACCTGCTGATGAATTTGGGCTTGAGCAAAGGGGTCAAGCGTGTGAAGCAAAGTGGCCGGAGCATGGAGTCACCTCTGCCTCTGCCACGGAGCAGCATTTTCTGGCAGAGGGACACAAGGACACCAAGAAGCAGTTGCATCCTATGCAAAGCTACTCCAGCAGCCTGAATTTTTGAGTGGAAGTAGCACATGGATTGTTAACTGGAATAACTGTGGCAGCTCCCGGTTGGGATTTGGCTGCCAGACCTAAATCCTGTGCTTAGGAAAAGCTGGATGAAATGTAATGGCCCGTGATACAGCGTGAAGCAGGCTAGGTGCTCTCAAGGTCCCTTTTGGCCTTGAACTCTACTAATCTGTGAATAAACCACAGCTGCATCTCTAATAACTCATGACCAGTTCAAGCCTCTGTTTTGACTTGCTGTCAAAAGATTTCTCCAGGAGCGCTGTGTCCTTGTGTGTCATGTTTTGGAGCATCTGCTCTGTATATACATGGGTTGAACCGCTTCCAGCAGACTTAGCAACTGTTCTGGTGATTTCCTCCAGGAAATCCAACTATGCAGGATAGCGTTTAGCTTATGGGATCGTGGCAATCAAGCCATTATGGCACACTTTTAAGTTGTTGGGTTTTTTGGGTTTTTTTAACGTTTTAGCTGGCTCCCCACCCCCAACCACATATCTGTACGTCTTGGGGCAGGGGGGGAAGAGTTCTGCCTTGTTCAAATGAAAGAGTATATCCTTTTGATTTATTCCAGAGCAGCCCTCGAGCTCAGCTCCTGTGAGAGCCTGCTGACTTTGAGTTCAAAAGATCTCACGTCTTTGAGGCCAGGCTGTGGTCTTCCATCTTGCCTCAAAGTTAAACTGAAAGAGAAAATTCTTTTTTTTTTCTTAAAAAGGGAGAAAAAATAAGCATGCTGTGTAAAGGAATCAGTCTTACCTGCAGCAGAAAAGAATGCCGACGTGCAGAATTTCAGGTTAAAATCTGGTTCTTTAGTGAAGGCTTTATTTTCAAGTACCTAGCATGTTGTTTAGGAAGTGTTTTGTAAAGATAAATGCTTCCTTTTAAAGCAGTGCTGTTGGCTGGCTGGGATCCAGTCTGTGATCCTACATTAAAGCATTTTTTGGTGTTTAAACCGCTACATTACCATGGTGGTTAGAAATGGTAGTTCTGATCCCCAATTTCCTGCAGATCTGCTGATAACAAGGTCTGGCTCAGGCCGAGTTTTGCATTGCTAACTCCCGAGTTTGGTCACTGAAATTTCACCGCAGGCAGGAGTGTTGGTCACTGGCATAATTGCCTTGTTGCCTGGTTGATGTTTTCATGAACGCATGATAAAAGATAGGCCAAGGACATCACAGTTTGACATTTAGGCTTAACATCTGCCCCTCTCTCTGCATTTTGTTTTTCCTTGCTGCCCGACTTGAGGCGTTTGGAGGTGGAAGCGAAGCTGCTCGAACGTGGGCTCTAGCACACGTGCCGAGCAAGCAAGGCTTGCCTTTAATTGTGGATTCCTAATGCTTAACCTCTACCGTCATCCTGTGGAGCGATATTAAATGTGTCCAACAGTTGTCGTGCATATCAAATGACCATCTTGACATACCAGAGGGGTTGGGTGCAGTTGATACCTTAAAAATTCCTGTTATGCTGGAAGCTATAGTGGTGAATATGAAGTATTAAGCCCTATGCCAAAGATGAGCTGTGCACCTTGAGAGGAAGGAGGTGCAGACAGCTACCTGGCATATATATATATTTATATCTATATAAACAAGTGTATGTACGTATAGAGCAAAATAAATATGTAAGTGCTATTATGTGATAGCTCTCTTCCATAGGGCTCTGCTTAGTCCAAATTTATGCAATTGTTGCTACAGCTGTGTGTTTGGAAGGGCAGAGGTAATAGATGGAAGACCTCTAATATATGGGGACCTTCCTTTTAAAAAATACCCAGCTTTTCTGAGCAAGGTGACCTTGGCTCAGCTTCTAACTTGGGAAACCAGCAATGCAGTGGAAAGGAGACGCTGATCAGTGCAGCGAAGGCTCGGTCGGATGCCAGCAGAAGATAAAACATCGGTCGGGTTGGCCTGGAGTTTTAACTGCAAGTAGGGTTGTCAGGGCTGCCATGTAAAATCGTGGATGCTCTCCCAAACTTGTGTGTATTGAATATATATACCTGGGAGGTGCGTATCTATGTGTTTTTTAAAAAAAGCTCCAATATTGGTACAGCATACTGGGGAGAAAAACATATTTGTTACCTGCCTCCGAGGTATGCAATTATTTGCTGGCAGAGTCAGTAACGGCTCAGCTAGCCCTTACAGGCATGGGAAAGGTCTCGTGTGATAGTTCGCAAGCCATTCTTATCAAACTTCATTTTCAGGAACCCCTTCTTTCAAAGTTTTATAGCCTGTGGAACATGTGCGTGAGGACATCGTGGTGTTTGTACCCGTCTTTTGGGGAAAAACACATTGAGAAAGCCAGCTGAAACTGCAGTCATTTTCTGGCAAGTCTGTGTACAGTAAATCCACACAGCCCAGGTTACGATCCAAGGACAGGTAATTGACTCTTCTTTTGTTCTGTCACCACTTCTCCTGCTCTTTCTTCAGCAGAGAAAAACCACACATCAACCTTCTCCCGCAAACCCCTGTTCTGAGCCAGCAATAAAGTAGGAAAATGTTTTTTCCCAAATCTAATTTGAAACATGGACCATTCTTAAACAGCTTCCAACTTAACAATAAAGAAACTTCACAGAGTGCTTGGCAGGAGCCTCTGTACATAATTTAGATCATAATCAGATGCATTAACACATTTTATATGGATCTCATGGGGGCCAAGAAGATGAGGTGTGCTGGGTAATTTCTTTCCAGACTTCTTTACCTGATTGTTTATTACTCTTGGGGACTTCATTTGTGGGCCAAATGTCACCAGCAGAATGCTGCTGCTTCATGTGCCTGCATTTAGAGTAGCTAGCAGCAAGGCTTCAAATAGCCTAATTGGCGTGTTATCGTCAGTCTTTCCATCTGCGTGTGGCAAAGAGAGGATGAAGAGTACATGGGGAGGGAGAGAGGCGAGAGGAACAAAGGCAAGGACCCAATTCTGCAAATTGCTGAGCTTCCCCTGTGCCTGCGGCTCAGTGGGAGAGAAGGTGCCGAGAGTGCTCGACGAGTAGCGTGTTTCCCGCTGAGCACAATCATGCGCTCTGCTCCTAGAGAACTGCACGGGGGAAGTGCTCCCTCCCCACCTTTTCATTTTAGCTGTTAAACATAAGCAGCTCTAATTTTATAAAGCTTCTGAAAGCTTTTTGGCACTCTGTGCAAAGAAACGATCATCTATCATTCGCATTGCTTCATTGTTTTGCCATGAATCCACCCATGCCAAAAGCATCCTTGTGAAATCTCCCCTTTGACAGAAAATTCTGTTGCTGCTTTGATAAATGATGTTTTGGATTTCTTTCTGCTCTGCTGGTTTGTATTATCCCCTCAAAAGGTGGGAAGTGAAGTTCCCTGTCACTTCAATGTCTCCCTTATACATGCTGAAGTAATAACCCTTCCCATGTGTTTCATGGGTATTTATTTGTTATTAAATGCTGTGAACTAGTGTAACATCAGGATTCCCAATCCTTTCCCAGCTGTGGGCTGTCAGGGCCAGGCTCTGCTCCGAGGTGCACAGCTCGGGGTTAGGAGCCTCGTCACTGGAGTGCAAGGGGATGCTCCTGGGCGCTGGGACTCGCTTGCCCAGGGTGTAACCCACTGGTGGTGACCTTGGCTGGCTACCATTGACCCACACCATCCCCGGCTGTGGGCCAGAAGTTGGCACAACCAAGAACTGAACCCAAAAGGCAGGTTGTATGTGGCCACTGTGTTCAGGAAGGTGAGAAAGTTTAAGAGCATGAAAGTGGCTGGCTTACACTAGCTGGACTTGGGGCCAGAGAACAGGTGGATATACTGGCATAGCCTTGGGGCCACTGGCATAGCCTTGGGGCCACCAAAACCACGGAGCCCCTTTTTCCCCTTCTTCCTGTGATTCTGAAACTGAAACCCACCCGTGACTGGAAAGCCACAACGTTTTACTGGCATGCAATGGAGGAATGCTGTGACATGGTGCTTTGGGTGCTGTGTACAACCTACAGGCAAACTACACCAACTAAAACCCTTGTGGCCAAACCAGGTTTGAGTGCAGAAGATCCTTTGGAAGCCAAGCACTGATTTCTGTTTGCCTCTTTTT